CACATTCACCAGCATGGAAGTGTCCGCTGAAAAAAGTATGAAACCATTCTCGTTGGAGTTTGATCATTTCCCAATAAGAAACCACAATTTTCCCCTAGTCTTAGGAGCAACATTTCGATCACCAAAATGCGAGGCCATGTATCTCAGTTTGCGACCTTGTAGAGCCCCTGTCATGCTTTATTTTTTCTTTTGAAAACTAATCCACATAATTTTCTGAAAAACCTCCCAACTGATAAAAGTCATAGTTGCTGAAGCACCGCAGGAAATAACTGTATACTTCTACTGCCATTTTTAAGTCCTGATAGACTACTACTATTGACCCACGCCGCCACGTAAGTATCCCATGCAATATACCTCGATACCCTATTGCAGGAAGGGTCATTTCGTTAGCTGCTACGTTACTGCTTTATTTTAATTTCTAGTGATATCCATGGACCCAAAAATTCGTCATTCGTCTGACGGAAGAGAGTATTTTAAGCTCCTTGTGAGCCCTGCGGATCGATTATTGAAATTTATAGACAAATCTATTGAAAAAGAAGACATAGCGGAGTACGAAATGATCCCATTGGTTGAAATGGGTGATTCCTATAGACTAAATGGGAAAATGATGGACTAACTGTAGGCAGGGGCGTAGCTAGGAAATTTCTCTGGGGGGGGGGGGGGGGGGGGGCATGGGACCACCTCTCGTGGTGAAGAGAGCGGGGGGAGGGTGAGGAATGAAGGATTCCGTTTTTCTGAGGGGGCCACGAGATTTCTGGGGGGGCCAGCCCCTCCTCCCAGGACCCCCCTAGTTACGCCCATGAGTCTGTAGGGTCTCTTGTCGGTTGCCATAGTTAGTCTATTACTTACCTGATTTGTCCATTGCAACCACCCGTTTCAACCAATGAAATTTTTCCATACTCCGTGAGAGTCAGGTCACAGAGGACACAGGTCTCCTTTGTCTATAGCTTTGTTTATCGATTTCAATAATTGGCCCGCTCTGCCGTGCTAAGAAAAAACGCCGTATGAACCTCCAGGCGTTGCCACATTTCCTTTAATGAAACACGAATTTCCTTGTAAACGTGAGAATATTTTCCATCCAAGTTTTCAGATGATTTTGCTCACTATTTTACCGAAAGTTTCTGGAAATTTAAAGGAAAAATATTCATAGCGTTCCTCAAAAATAAACATGTTACCGGAGGAAATGTGGCAACTCGCGAATGTTCATACGGCGTTCTTCCTTAGCACGGCAGTGCTGTTCTCCATAGAATTCTATGCTCTCCGGGGCTCTTATGGATATGGGTATACGCCCTGCGTCGGAGGAGCGACGAATAGCACAAAATTGTTCGCTGTGAACTCTGCAGGCATCTCCTCACTCCTCTTCTCAGTTTTCTTCACTGAGTCAAGGTGTATGACGTCTTAAAACATGTTCCTTTTTACACAGGGTACCTATAAGGTGACAAACGCAACGATGGAAGGTGAACTAGGATTGCAGTTCCTGAAGGGTGACAGCAGAGTTTTGTGGAAACTTCGCATTATCGTGAAAAATCCAAGGGCGAACATCGTCATCGAGTGCTTGGATCTACATTTCAGGATCGTCTCTGTTCGAACAAAATCTTGATCCAGTTCATGGTACCATACCCATTTGTCATGTGACACTTCGATGTTCCCAATTATCTAGTCTAGGATCGGGAGTGTAGTCCAGTCAAATTAGCTCTAAAAAATGGTAATTTGGAAGAATCAATGCATAGAAGGTTCCTGTGCGAAAACATGTTGAAATCGGCCACCAAAACAACTTATCAAAAGTTTATCAGAATCTGCTTTCCGCTAACTGCTAGGGCATCCATCTTGAAAAGGCGGGATGGGGGGGCCAAAAGACGCAGCCGGCGACCAGTTTTTCGCTTATAATTCAAAAACAATACATTCTACGGAAAAATGTCATTAGACTTGTCATAAAGAGCGCAACAATTTCTATGAGAAACAGTGACATTTATCAGTGTGTGACTTCCATTATATGAGATATCGCGGTAGTTCTATGCAGCTATGGCGGCCCGGAGAAGTCGATTTTTTCTTGAAATCGCGCTTTCCATTCTTTACTGAAATTGAACAGCATAAAATTTCCAAAAGAACGATGACTATTATTTTAGTAAGAGGTCCGCCCCTGAATCACTATGCGGTCCGACCCAATAGTAGCTGCTATATGCGGTGAGAACCGGTTTGGACGAGTCATGCATTGTTAGGGTTCAAAATGGGACAACATCACTTTATCTTATAGATTTAACAGAAAGATGAGCTATTTAATCTATTTCCGCATATATCTTTTTGATAGTGTTATTTTTTCCTTTTTTGTTCGATACTAACTGAAACACAACAAATTTCCTTTTTCCTGAGTTAGTGTGCGAGAAGGACAATCAAAGAATAATGAGTATAAGAAAAGGAAGATGAGCATTCGTTGTTTACTTGAAATTTTAGTTTAGTTTACAGCCAGAAACGTATATTAGCGCATAAAAAAGTGCAGGAATACTTCACGCATTGCGCCTAGCAGAGTGCGGTCGCTGGTCGGCGCGGAAAACATATTAGCGCCTACAAGAATGTAGGAATACTTCACGCATTGCGCCTAGCACAGTGCGGTCGCTGGTCGGCGCGGAAAACATATTAGCGCCTTCAAGAGTGCAGGAATACTTCACGCATTGCACCTAGCAGAGTGCGGTCGCTGGTCGACGCGGAAAACATATTAGCGCCTACAAGAGTGTAAGAATACCTCACGCATTGCGCCTAGCACAGTGCGGTCGCTGGTCGACGTGAAACGCGTATCGATACTGTAAGTCGGCAATCACATAACTCGGTTTGTGACGTCACATACTTTCTGTCATACTTTAATTTTTAAACGGAACACTACGCAACAGCAATTTTTTAAAACGGCCGTGATTTTTCTTCTTTGTGCGAAGAAAACTCTGCAAAAACTTCAAAGAATGATATGTCAATTTGTCCGCCTTTAAACAAATAACATAGAGGCGGAGATTTTCAGACACCGCAAACGAGATATGTGATTGCGGACTTACGCCGTCGATATGGGCATTTCTACAAAAACTGCCCAATATGACCTCCAAAAAACTATTTTTTTAAACGAAGTATTTCTTTGACGTCCCTAGTAAAAATGAATCAACCTGACGTCAGGTTGACTTACTTTCACTAGGGGTGGGTAGGTGTGGAACAGACTGAGGAAGTTTAATGGTCCTTGCATAGAATGTAGGAGCTGGTTGGAAATAAACTTTCACCTCAACAAAGAAATCACAGAGATTTATTCATCCTTTTTGACGACCAAGAAAATTGAACATCCAAATAACATCCATTTAAAAAAATGATAACACTCTCAACAATGATTTGCCCCGCCCATGACAAGGATAGGACCTGAAATAGGCACCAAGGAACTTTGAGCCCCTCTACAAAAAACAAAAGTGACTTATCCTTGATGCCACTCGTAATTCTTTAATTTTTAAAATTAAGGAGCTGATTGCATTTTTTGCCCTTCTGTTTGTTATTCCAACGTCCAGGCTCAGAAGTCTTAAAAATTCAAGGTAACCTATTGGACGCCGAAAGCGGGCCTGCAGTCGTGTCCTTTTTAGAAGCTAAAGAAAATCCTTCTCAACGTAACATATAGCATAAAATAACACAATTTTGAATGATTAGAGCTTTAGCTACCAGCTCTGATTTTTCCGTCTAATTTCTTATTTGCATATAAATGTTGTTACTTTAAAAATTAAGAGTAGGTATCGCTAAACAAACCCTTCAAACATAAAGATAAAAAATTAATCAGAAGGTATAACACCATGATACTAGCTTGGCCAAGAGAGCAAATGAAGGGATAAAAGCCAAGAAAGGGCTCAATTGTATTTTAACGTTGTAATGTATCTTCTGATAACTTGATCTTTCACTCGTTGAGGAGTTCTGATTTTGTGTCGGAGTTTTCCAGGAAATCTAGATGGCAACATAGGCGGTTCTACGGGGGTGCCAGTGGGTGCCGGGCACCCCCAAGCAAAAATTAAGTACGGTTACTAGAACCGTGAAAGAGGCTTTTGGGCAAGTAAACACGTCAAGAAAAAATCGTATTATGAAGCGTAAAAAATTGGCAATATTTTTATTTCATGAATTTTTTAAATCTGAAAATTGATATAAAAAAGACCAAATTACTGCTTTTAAAGATTCTGTATTCGCTCACACTGAAAAAAATCCCAACAATTAATTGAAAATGTTTTAAGCAGAATTAATATTGATAGCCGTGTTTTACAAAGATTATACTGTTTTTTTTATGGTAAGAATGCAGTTTTGGTGAAAAGTTTTGCTAAAAATTTTCTACGTTGAATTTATAAGTATTTAAGTAGAAAGGAAGGAGAGAAAAAGAGAAAGGAGGGTAGGAATGGGATTAAACTTGAGGGCCGGAAATTAGGCCTCCCCCGAGCGACCGTCCCCTTTGGGGCCGGTCTCCGACATTTTCCACCTCTGGGCACCCCCAAACATGAATGTCTAGAACCGCCTATGGATGGCAATATTCACTTAATTACTTAGAATAAAAAAAGTAACAGTTTTGGAGTAAATCAATTAACTGTAAAATGAAACACTGCAACATTGAAATGCAATCGAGCCCTTAGCTCTGATCTTTGCAAATCATAGGTGATCCTACTCTTTGTGGGCTAAAAATGTGTGTACAAAGAAAAATTTTCCTCAAAGATAACCGTCAAACATTCGCTTTTAATGCCCAATTAAAATTCGACTTTTTGCCCACATCATTAAAAATCGACAAAAGGGTCTTTGGACATTTACATTTGTCAACATAATATTATTCTGTTGTCACATTAATGCTTCGGCTTTTTTTCATTTTTATTGCAATTGTTTACGTCCTATATATAGCATATCTGAGAGGAAATAAAATAGAGGATTCTCTACCAAATTGGCAAATTTGCGTCACGTTCTTTGTGCTGAAAAAATCTTATAACAGAGAGTAGAAAATAGAACAGACAAAATGTAGGCATATCTTAATTTTATGGCAGAAGCATATGTACAAGTCGCCCGTTGCTGGGCTGAGTCTTAACGATAAAAAAACAATGTAACATCAAAGAACTCAGATGAGGTTGTTCAGTATTTTTCGCAAGGCTGATACTTTGTTGACCCTCGCTTTTTGTCGGAGAAGCAGTGTGAAGCTAAAATTGTAAAGTTTTAAAAATTAAGCATCGACTCGAGAAAACAATACTAATCTCTTCACTCATGATTGAGTAGTTTTTATCTTGTGTAAGTACCTACCTACTCATTACACAGCATATTGCCTTAGTATAAAAAATATCATGATATTACTTAGAAAACTCTCGCTCGTAAAAAATGTCATAAAAATAATCTTAGTTCGCAGTTCTACCATAATTTACAATCACAATACAGTGGGTTTTCCGAATATCATATAAAAAGAGGCAATTAATGATTATGGCATGAGATACGATGATGTATACAAAAAAGAAAGAAAAAAGTTGTATAATACGATGAGTCGAATGAATATAGGCAAGGGTGCTCAATGCTCTCAGTTCAGAAGATTTTAGTTGAAATAGTATCGAGAGGAGCTTATAATTTTTCACAAAACTAAACGTCTTTGAAGTTGATACCAACGCTGAATGCCCTAAAATCTTCAAAAATCTGTAGAGGTTTAATCTATCAAGAAAAAAACCTGAGCAAACTAGAACTCGTACATTAGAAACTCGTTTCTGAATGGTGAGTTATACGTTTTCTTACACTCGGCAAATCCCAAATATATTCAGCTCAGCCTCATACTTAAGATGAAAACAAAGTTCTCATTCGAATGACACCTGAGGGTGCGAACTTCTCAGGAGACTTAGACGACAACCTTGTGGCATGAGTTTTCGGAGCTAAAAGGAACATATGTCAAAATGATATCTACATATGTTGTTTACTTATTGATTCATTTGACCTTGAAGATCTTACTCGCTATGCATTTTTTTCAAGCAGAAATCCAGATGCCGAGTCAAATTTTGCATGATATGTATCAGAACGATTTGTTTAAGTGATTTGAAACGTAGACCTTGTTGGACTGAGACACCAGGCGCACAATTAAAGGTGCCTTCTTTAGAAGATGAGTATACTAGTTTCGCCGGAAATCTCTGTTTAATCTTCATTTCAGAATCAGGCCTCATCAATTCTCAAAACGTTCCGCTCTATCTTCTAGGAAAATCACCAAAAACCGCAAACTCTTTCGTTCCTATATCGTAATGATCAATTTATAACATCAAATGGCAGAGGCCCTCTAACAAGAACATTAACAATAGATTTGTACTTGACAAAAACAGATATAACAAAAATTATTGTGATACAGTTTGTACCAAATATTGGCTTACTCTTGAAGGACACGCGTCCATATGGAAGGCTCTCGCCTATTTTTTCGACGTCAAAATCGTGACGAATTCTGGAACAAAGGACAAAATAAATTACATTATATACGTAAAAACAGTGCAGGGGCTTTTGCCCGCATAATTAAATCAAATATAGAAAGCAAGAACCCTAACTAAGTGACAAGCTGATAGGTCACTTTTCTTCTTATAGCAGCGAATGAGGTACGCTTGGTTGATGGACAGTTCCCGATAATTTTAACAAATAGCTGGGGGGGAAATGTTTAGTGTATGTGGGGAAAAGACACAGGCTCTAACAAATCCTCAAAATATTGATTTTTATCCGAAGAAAACTAATCGCCCACCTGTGTGATAGAATGATTTAGTGACTATCAATTTTACACGATCGTAATCCGATGGGCTCTTTCATATTTTGCCATTTTTTTGAAGTGCGGCAAAATTCAAACGGGCCAATTAATCACAATTCAAAATTGAGATTATGACACCCTCGATCCAAAGTCGACATATCGACTGAACTAGTCTGTAAACTACTCTGTTGCGCTTTAGTTACTTGGTACCTATTCAGAGTGACACGTCGCCGATGATTCTTCAACGGCAATACACGACACGCATATCACTGTAAAAGGAAGAGATCGTTTGAAGCGCCTTCATTTTTCTCACGTACAACACGCATACCCATGAAGCACGAATAGTTGTATTCAGGGGCCACAACAAGCATCGCGTCGCGGTGTTCCGTCACGTTGTGTCCGACATACTGCTAACGGATATATATGGACTACAGTTTGCAATTTGGAACTATACATTCTAGCCCGGTTTAAAAGCAACATATGTGTCATTAGTTTCCCTATGCACATAAGTGTTTTTCCAGAAGAGCCAGAATTTATAGTTTCAAATTGCAAAAATGCAGATCTCGGTTGCGGTGTTTCGGAATCTCCACTTCCAATTTAATTTTTTAAAAGGCGACCGACCATCATCATGGCTTGAATTTTTCACGGTATATTTATCAAAAAGAGATGAAAAATCACTGAAATGTTAAAAAAAAGACGATTGATGGTTTTCTACGTAGAAAATAAAGTATGACAAGAAGTCTTTAACGTCTCCAACCGATATACGCATTTCTGCCATTTCACCATCGATAGCCTTTCCTAATCTTCGATTTTAAAAGAAAAAGAATCTCTTTCGGGGAGGTACCATCAGACACTTTGCAGTTCACTTGAAACTGTTCAAACATCGCAAATATCTCTTTAAATTGATTGAATGTGATGTGATATATTTACTTGCCATTGTAATTGACCATTCCGTCACCGTCTAAATCAGCCTCTTTGATCATGTCATCGACCTCTTCATCGGACAGTTTTTCGCCGAGGTTTGTCATCACATGACGTAGCTCCTTGTTTGATATTAGTCCATCGTTGTTCTTATCAAACACCCTGCGAATAATACATGCTTTAAATATAAATCGATAAGTACTTAGCGAGACATATTTTACGTCTTCGTATTTCTTACGAGAGACTTGAGTAAATCTGAATTCATACATGCATGACAGCGTGACTTACGGTGATTCTAGTGTACTTTCTCGAGCGATTCTTTAGTCGATGGATCAACTGGATTAGATTTAGCAATGAGGAACCACTATTTCTGGCTTAGCCTTTAAAGCACCTATCTGTATCAGGAAGCTGACGACACAAATCTTGTTTCTAAAATGAGCTGATAATAACAGTTCCTTATTGCAAAATCTAGTCAAATTGACAGTTTTTGAATTATAACACTTTTTTTTCGAAAACTCTCAAGAGTTACATCGGGGCGGTGTAGCGGTTGTTGGAGCGTGTCAAGTATTTTCGTGTTAGATTTAATCGATAAACATACCTCCAGATAATTCTGAAAGTAAGTCTTAGGCGAATATCACAGTCATTCAAAAATATATTCTTTATTCTCATATTCTTATTCTTTCATGCTCTCAGAGAGTCTCGCCCAGGGATGCAGGATGAAATTTCCTTTTGCTAGAAAGTAAAATTTAACGGTCCATGTTTCAACAAATTTTATAGACTACGTATACAACTCGTAACAATCACCCAAGAATTCAATTAGAAGCATCGACATTTTACTCGTGATATTTCTTTCAAAATTGAGGCACAGGATGCGAAAAGTTGCTAATTAATCCCTCTGCATGAGAAGAATTTAATGGGTGATTTTGCCAGAGTTCTTTCCATAGAAAATTGTAGATGTTGGGACCTGGAGAGTAGGTTCGGTCTGCCGAGTGTGGCAGCACTTATATGGCCCACCGAGAGGGGTTGTCTCAGAAACAACCCCTCTCGGTGGGCCATATAAGTGCTGCCACACTCGGCAGACCGAACCTACTCTCCAGGCCCCAACAGTAGAATCATAAGGGATATTCAGTAGAATTTTCAGTGAGGTGGATGCATTCACTTTCCTTACAATGAATGAACTATTAGAGGAGACTGTGAAACACTGCAACCGAGAAGTGCCCTTTTTGCATTCAGTGCCTCAATTACAAAATTAAAATTTCATTGTTTCTATGCGTATCACGGCATTCTGATCACAAAATTCGACGAAATTGCATGAAAACCCATTTCATAGAATTATATACATGAAAGTTCATGAAATTGCATTTCATGAAGTTACGTAGAAGTTTGAATCTCTGGTCTCACCTGAATGCCTCGCGGAGCTCGTCTTCGCAATCTGCTCCTTTCAATTTTTTTGACATCATCTGCAGGAATTCGTTAAACTCTATCGTTCCGTTTCCATCTTGATCCACCTCATTAACCATGTCACGTAATTCCGTCTCTATAATCAACAACATTTGATTTGAGTATGCTAGATCAAGAACACCATGCATAGATAGAACATTCATATTACATGTCCTGTCGAACCCGACAATACTGCAGTGCTTAGGAAAAACGCCGTATGAGCTTATAGATGCAGCCAGATCTCCTTCATTAAAAACCGAATTTACAAGAAGAATTTTGAATATTTTTTTTCAAAATTTTCAAATAATTTTGTTCGCAATTTGATGTAGAATCAGGGCCGGATTAAGGGGGTGGCCACATAGACCGCATTCCATGGCGGCAAATCTAAGGGGCGGCAAAAATTTGCAATTTTTTAAAATGTAGGTATAAAAAAAAATCGAATTTATAAAAACAAAATTAAAAACGAGAAAAGGCGACAAAATCTCTCATTTCCTGCGAGTACGGTAATTTCTAATTTTGTCGTCGCTTAGTGATACAAGAGACAGCACCTTTAATAAGTCGAGTTAAGAGATAGACCAAACTCGCAATTTGGCCTGGAACGGCGCGACTTAGAGAGAAATGAGAACGAGGACTTGAGATGAAAAGGAGAAGCCCTCGGCGCGGCGATCGGCATGTAACACATATTAGCGCTTACAAGACTGCACGAATACTTCACGCATTGCATCAAACACAGTGCGGTCATTGCATGCGGTCAGCGTGAAACGGATAGCGCCTACAAGCATGCATGAATACTTCACACATTGCGCCGAACACAGTGCGGTCAGCGTGAAACGCATAGCGCCTACAAGGCTGCGTGAATACTGCACGCATTGCGTCCAACACGGTGCGGTTTGCGCGGCGCGGCGGAGGTTAAAATCATTGAACCACATTTATGTTTGTTCTTTCATAATTTTTTCGTTCATTTCTTATGAATGGAAGGCCTTGTCCATACAGAGATAGGCTTACGGAACCTAACTTTCGCGCAAAGTTTCGAGAACTTTTGCTGGTAGTGTTGACAGGGCTTTCCCAAAAAATGTGGTCAACACGAGTAAATGCGTCTTATGCACCCCTCCCGCGCTGGCACGTTCATTTGATGGTTTTTATCGAGTTTCAAAACGAATGAGAAGGGGGTGGCAAAATACTAGCGGCCCATGGGCGGCAAGTAGGTGAATCCGGCCCTGTGTAGAGTATCTGCAAATTTCAAGGGAAAATATTAATAACTATCCTAGAAAATACGTGTTTTATCCGGAGAAAATTGGGAACTCTCTAATGTTTATACGGTTTTCATCCCTAGCACGACAGAATAGTGTTTCGATAACGCGAACGTGAAGTCAATTCAATCGATGAATTCAATAAACGCTCCCCCGCGGAGTATCGTAATGCGTGATGTACTTTTCAGTGGCGTGGAGTGAATTGCGATATATCGATATGACATTCAAGCCTATGGTAAAGAATCAATTAATAAGGTGTTCGCAGCGAACACCATATTTTCCGATTCTTTTCCATAGGTTTAAATGGCAGATCATTCGATGTATCGCAAAGCACGCCACGCCACTGGTACTTAGGATCCAGTTTTTTATTGCCAGTCCTCTATGAGGGTACCTCTTGTTACCATGTAATGAGCTTCTCTTGAATAATTTTATTTCCAAACTTAGTTAACTGGAAAATAGTATGTCATTTGTCTATCAACCGGGAGAGTTGCATTTTTATAACATGATGTATGACTTCGTTTTCGAACGGAAGTCTACCGATAAAGAACACGCAAATTTCTTCGCAGTTTTTACATTTTTTTTTTTTTTTTTTTTTTAAATTCCTCCATCTTCATTTTTTTTAAAAATATGGTAAATATTTTCTGAACGAAGCATCAATTAAGTCAAACGGTCTACGGAATTAAGTCCAAAAAGGCCGATGAGCCCCTTGTTGTGTAGCTTGTAAGCAACGCCAAGATTTGGTTCGGGTGTTCCATCGATTCTCGATAAAAAAAACTTTTATGGGATCGCCCAAGATGATGAGTGAGAAAAAACTCCCACCGGACTGACACAGACGCCTCGTGCCACAAAATAAATTGTCTGCCACTGCGTAGCATGTTTGTCACATTTCCTGCAACCTCCCGCAGTCCCGCCTTCCATTTTTCGGACCGTTCTACCCAATGTTCTGGTGATGATTAGTAAATTATCATTTGTAAACAAACATCTGCGGCTTTGGTAAAATGCATCTTTCAAAATTCAAATATTCAAAAATAATGTATTTCGATCGCTCTGCCGTAGAAAAAGTCAATTCACAAGTCAAATCTACACATAAGGAGCAATGTATACTTGGTCAAAGTCAAAAATTTCATATTTTCACTTTGCATCGCTCTAAAGTCTTCGATTACATTCAATCTCCTTGAAATGAAACGTACCGACATACGTATTTTTGCAATTTGCTGTGAATATTTTTAAATTATTGAAGAAAATTCGTAGAAAATTTAGAAAAGAAACAAACAAAAAAAAAATGTTAGTTGGAAAAAACCAAATATGAGCAGATATAAGTGCAACATTCTAATCGGATTTACATACTTTCTACTTGTACAAGAGAGTCTTTTTCATATTTCTTCCGTGTGCTCTGCAAAACCTAATCGCCGTAAAGCGTGACGCATAAAATAAGGAATCACTGCGAAGCATTCTTGCAAAGTACAATTGCCACAGTAACATTGCAATTTATTTAGGCTCATTTCTTATAATAGATTTGAGGGGCATTGAAGGAACTCCTATGGACTTGTTGGACACGCGTATATCTTTTTTTCAAGCAGCATCTTTCCAGAAACCTACTGAGCGGCTCTAACCGCTGAGCAAGAAACCCAAGCGCCTTCAATATTTGGGTATGCAATACGCACATTTAGCAAGCACGAATAGTTGCATTGCTTCAAGGCGTCGACAAATGTGCTGAAATTGAAGGGTCTGATTTTTGCGCATTCGCTTGAAAATGAAATTCAAAAATCTTTTCTAATATAATTGTAAGTATAAAAGTCTGTGGCGTCGCAATTTTGAATGGTAGTCACGTGGTTTTTTTTAATTTTCCCTTTAAATACGTCAATAAAATAACATTCAAACTTACTTTAAACCGGAGAAATATGACGAAAGTATGTAATTTGACAATAAATGATAAATAAATGATAAATTTGAAATAAAATAAGAAATATTAAATAATTCGAAATAAATTTATATATTTATCGTGAGCATCACTCATTTTGTTGGAGTCACCATAAAATCTTCTGCCTCATTTATTCACAAGTAGTGTTAACATATATTAATATATTATACATAACAATTTTAATTGCGTCCTCACAATGTGACGTATAAAAAATGTGTAAGGTCTTATTTAAGAAAAAAATGTGACAAAAATGATATTGAATAAAACTGACTCGTTCTACAAGAAATATTAATTTCAGAGGAAGCTGGAAAAAGTGAGGCGCAGACTTATGAGTAAATCGCGAATATACTGAAGCTGCAGTTCATAGGGTCCAAATTATTTCTCCTTCTATACAATTTTTTAGACAACGTATAAAGGTGATTCGCGCGTGTTTTCTTTTAAGAGTGTAGTCAGCAGCATATCGACGGTGAAACTACCAAACCACGTATCTCGTTTGCGGTGTTTAAAAATCTCCGCTCACATTTTATTTTTTTGAAGTAGACCAAATTAATATCATTCCTTGAAATTTTCACAGAATTTTCTCCGCACGAAGAGGAAAAATCACAGAAATTTTCAAGACTAGACGTTAAGTAGTTTTTCATTTAAAAAATAAAGTATGACAGGAAGTCTGCGACGTCGCAAACCGAGATACGTGGTTTGGTAGTTTCACCGTCGATATTTATTCAAAGCACGTCGCTCCATGGAAGACGAAAAGAGAACCTCCCAGCTGCAAGATTTTATTTTCGTTTCATTTCTAATTTCCAGCAAAGGAATCAAGAGCCTTTATGCGATGTATGGCACTGAGATTAACGGCAGATTAGAAAGGAACACTGAAACATTACGAGAGACTTGCATTTGAATAGCTTATTCCGGTCAAGTGAATTTTTCAACTTTTGAAAAATATACACTCGTTACTGTAGTCCTTTCAAGAAGCAAAGATTGGGTAGGTACTCAAAAGTAATCTGAATTAATGTGAATTTAGAGGAAACTTGAACAGCTTCTTTCCATTTCACTTGCATGGGCCTGATGTTCATGAGAGAAGTGTGTAATATAATTATTCCCTCGATGAATATTTATTCTCTGATTCTCCTAATGTGCAACTATTTCTATGAGATTTTTGCTGGAATTTTTAGATTTTGGAAAAAAGTCTCTCGCATCCTGAAAAATAAATCGCGAAGGATTTAGTTCATATCTGCCAAGAGAAGTCGTATGTTTATGTAGATATGTAGATTCCATGCCAAGAACACGACAGACTAACATATTATTTGCTGGTTTATTTATTTATTTTTTCGTCTTAGATTAACTTGGCTCAACCTTAAAATATTGAATATCTTTTTATTGAAATAATGTTTTTGGAGCCATGAACTTGAATTCCTAATCCCCAGCTGATGGGGACATTTTTGAGCGCTTATCCCAAACTATTCGTGCAGCATTCCTTTACACTCTGAAATTCACACCTCAATTGCGACCGCTTTTGAAGTGATGTACGTAGCCATTTTCCAGGAGATGGCCACATTCCGTCGTTCATCTCACAAAAAAAAAAGAAACTACATCTCAAAAATGCCAAATTTCTCCACGCATATTGCATTTTCACCAGCAGAATCTTAGGCATTTCTGTCTGATACTTTCACTAATTTCTCCTTACATCTCACACAACAATCAGAAAAGTTATGGACAAAAACTGAATTTTTTTAAGTCAATTTTGCAACCTTGGAATTGAGTTACGTTCTTCTGTCCGGAATCGACAATATGACGAGGCACATCGATAGACAAAGGTCACTGTCGAACTCCGAAATGGAAGACCAATAAAATCAATACCTGTAAATCTAGTCTCGAACGAAAAAAGATTGACAATGGTTCATCGTTGCCACTTTACACTAAAAATAACCTTTTCCTCTCACATAGCTCTGTCGTGCTAAGGAAGAACGCCGTATGAACATTCGAGATTTGCCAAATTTCCATCGATAAAATGATCATTTTTTAGGAACGTTATGAATACTTTCTCGCGAAATTTTTAGGACTTTTCGGTGAAATCTTGAGCAAAATTATCTGAAAAATTTGAAGAAACTTATCCACTAGTTTACCAGGAAATTCGTGTTTTATCGAAAGAAAATTTCGCAAACGCCTGAAGGTTCATACGGCGTTCTTCCTTAGCACGGCAGAGCTCCCTTCATAATAATGAAATTTCATGACACAATGTGGCAGTGACTTACCGGTCGGTCTCTGGCCTAGCGACCGCATCACAACGCCAAGCTCTGCTATCGTAATTTTCCCGTCCTCGTCCTTGTCGAAGAGCATGAAAGCTTCTTTGAATTCTGCAACAGAGGGGAAAAAAAACTCACGATCTTAAACGTTCCACAGGGTCGCAATAATTTTGTCGGTCGAGGAATGCTCCCGTCAAGGAGAGACCTCTCGGCTCTTTGTCACGAGATCTAAAAGCCCCATAAAGCTCTTAAAAGAATGAACACCAAATTCGAAACCGGCGAAGTTCAAAGGGCGAGGATGCTGATGAAAAAGGTGAGGCTTTTAGTGGGAGTTTTCGGCGGGTAATAAAAAAAGGAAATGTTTCGCCTTGCGTTCGGAAGAAATTTAATAAACATCTTTTCCGCTGTTTTCACCGCTGTGGGTGGGCCGTGAGGAAAGATTGAGCGAGGGCAAACTACTTTTCGCTCATTACATTGTGGTTTTAACGCTGCGCGAACTAATGAACCGAAATTAAGGGGAGCAACCCTGCGTCGAATACAAATAAGGGGTGAAATTTAATTACGAAGTGGCTATTCGTCGGTACGGTACCGACGGATAAATGGCTATTCGTCGGTACCATACCGATGAATAAATATTCGTCGGTACCGTACCAATGAATAAATAGCTATTCGTCGGTACCGTACTTTGATTTTAGTACGTAAATTATATTAAAGATATAATTTCTTAATAATATTTTGGTGGAAGTTAAGAGCTAAAAATTGGGTGAAAGATGGAAAAAAAACCCATCACGAGTTGTAAATAAATATTCTCCAAATTTAATTTATGTATTTAATACTCTCACATAATACTGAAATGTACTACTCTGTCAAATAAATAATCATAATACTGAAATGCACTTCACTGTCAAATGAATCATCATAATACTGAAATGTACTACTCTGTCAAAAGAATCATCAAGAACGCTTCTTTTTTCGGGTGGTGGGGCAATTAGTTTCATTTGCAGGTGTTTCTTCATCGAGTGAGAGGATACAAAAAGCATAGAAACCAAAGCATTTAATTCTGCTTTCTTTTTCATGCTGTATAGCAGTTGGAACCAAATTTTCATGTCTTTTTATTTGTGATGGATGTTAGGAACTTTTAAAAGAGCAATACAATAATTGTTCCGCACGGAAAATGCCCACAAAATCACATTGAACACATCAAGGAAGAACAAAATGCAATCCTAACTTCTCAATTTACAAAATAAATGTGTGTATTTTTGACCTCCCCACTTCAAAGATTGGAGATATTATGCTAATTGCACATATGATGCACACGAGCTCCATGCACACCCATCAAAAAAATAAATCAATAAAAATCGTCCCCTGAGGACGAAAATTTTAAGGCAGATTTAACTTTACTGAAAGTAATTCCTTTTAGTATGAACGCGTCCAATTATATCATGGCAAAGGAGACAAAAACTATGGCATCCTCACAATATTTCGATAATCTTACTATATTATAAAAAATCATAAAAGTAGCACGTAACGCCTAACGCCTAGGGCGTAAATCGGTTCGAAAGATTGGACCGGGAAGCAGTTAGGGGTCTACGCCCGTTGGTATTTTATAACTAGCGAAATGTCCGTGACTGGAGTCACGGGTCTAGAGGCCACTAAAATATCTATAACCCCGAAAAAATGGTGGTAGGGGAGCAAGACATGCCATAAATAAAAAAAATGATAAAATCGATAGGAAAATGAGTTGAAGGGAGTGGGTGATGAAGCTGGAAAAATGAGCTGGGGGAGGTAGAATAAATGCTGGCAAAAAAATTAGAACTAATCTAGCAATGATTTATTAAAAGAAAAAAATAAAAAAAAATTGAAATCAAACATCAGCTGATAGCAAACAAAGGTTACCAGGGAAACCAAGGAATGGAACTTTCATAAAAACAGATTATTGGAAAACAGCGTAAGTAGGGCACTTACGTGAATTACCGTTTATCAGTAAACGGTAAGTGCGATTTAGCCAAAAATCTATACAGTTCTTTATAAGACTAAAATGGACAAAATTACAAAATTTGAATAGGCTAACGTAAATCTAACGATAGTTATCGTGAACGAAAAAATTGACGATATATAGGTCGGGTAACTATTATAGGTGGGATGGGATGGGATAATTTTAGAAATTAGAGATATTTTCGCTTTCACCGCTGTGAAAACTGCAGCAACTGCAGTGAAGCCCAAACGGCGAGGTTGTTTCTGCAACAATCCACCACCGTCGGAAGACGCTAAATGCCGCGGCGTTAAGGGTTTGATTGCAAGACCGCGTTCGTGTCGTAAAGACTTCCGGCGGAGCGCTGCGCGGTTTGTCGCTTCAATGGATCCGAACAACCGCGAATCCTCGAGCTGCTTCAATTAAGTCACTCTTCAACAGCCCTCCAACTTCCAACTCGCTGCGGTGCGACTTGAACTCTCCTCAAGACTCGCAAACGGAGAAAGCAGCATTGGCCTTTGGGTTCCCTTTCGAAAAACCGAAAGACTTTGTCCGGAGAAATGGACCACTAGACAAGGTACGAATTTCAGCATTCTGATACATGTTTCTCCACCAAAATTTCACGTAAAACACGGTGCGCACAACGAAAATTACCGAAATTAACTCCTTCCAAAGATATTTAATGATTCTTGGTGCGAGAATTCAAACCACCCGCTCATGAAAACTCAATGCTCTACGTGATTCACATCGCACGCTAAACGTTATCATGAACGTCCCTGCGATAAAAAAAATCTGGCAACCTCAATCTTGACGCTTTGGCTCAGCTATAGCAAATTACTTATAGTTTGAAAAACACATGGTCGGAAATGAACATAGCTTGATTGAGAAGCTTATGCTGAAACCGTTGTAGTGCGCGATTTGACTCACGTAGAGCTTTGAGTTTCTTGTCAGCGGGCAGTTCAAATTCCTCGTAACCAATGTGAAAGAAAAATGTTAATATCTTCGTTAGGAGTTGGTTTCAGTGATTTTCGTTACGCGAATCGTGTTCTACGTGAAATTCTGGTTAGAAAACATGTGTCAGAATGCTTAAATTCGTACCTTGTCTAGTGGTCCATTGCGGTTGAGGCAAGGTAGCAACACGGCCCCCTCCATCTGAATCCCGAACTTAAAAATGTCTTGACCTTAAATTTGTAATAAATTATTAGACATGGTAAGAATTATAACAAGGGTCCCCGGTTCGTTCGAACCTCTCTTTCTAAATGGAGCTAGGCAATACTAAGGAAGCGTTACACGAGGTATTCTGCCTTGCCAAGGAAGCACGCCGTATAAACAGTTTGCTGATGCCAAATTTCCCCCGACAAAATATTTATTTTTTAGGAAAGTTATGTATATTGTCCTTCAGGGCCGGTTTTACGTACTTGCCGCCCATGGGCCGCTAGTATTTTGCCGCCCCCTTCTCATTCGTTTTGAAACATCAATGAAAACCATCAAATGAACGTGCCAGCGGGGAAGGGGTGCATAAGACGCGTTTACTGGTGTTTAACACATTTTTTGGGAAAGCCCTGTCAACATTTCTAGCAAAAGTTCACGGAGCTTCGTACGAAAGTTAAGTTTCGTAAACCTATCTCTGTGTGGACAAGGCCTTCCATTCATAAGAAATTAGCGAAAAAATTATGAAAGAACAAACATAAATGTGGATTAATGATTTTAACTTCCGCCGCCGCGCCTCGCAGACCGCACTGTGTTTGCCGCAATGCGTGAGGTATTCATGCATTCTTGTAGGCGCTATCCGTTTTACGCTGTCCGCAATGACCGCACTGTGTTTGATGCGATGCGTGAAGTATTCGTGCAGTCTTGTAGGCGCTAATATGTGTTATTGTGTTACATGCTGATCGCCGCGCCGAGGGCTTCTCCTTTTCATCTCAAGTCCTCGTCATCATTTCTCTCTAGGTAAGTCGCGCCGTTCCAGGCCAAATTGCGTGTTTGGTTTCTCTCTTAACTCGACTAATTAAAGGTGCTGTCTCTTGTATCACTGAAATACGACAAAAGTAGAAAGTACTATACTCTCAGAAAATTACAGATTTTGTCGCCTTTTCTCGTTTGTAATTTTTTTTTCTAAATCCAAATTTTTTTTATACCTACATTTAAAAAAATTGCAAAATTTGCCGCCCCCTATAGATTTGCCGCCATGGGCCGCGGCCCATGTGGCCACCCCCTTAATCCGGCCCTGTTGTCTTTTAAAATTTTCTAATGTCTTAGATTAAATTATGAACAAAATCGTCTGAAAAATCGGAGGAAAAATATTCAAAATTTACCCGGTGAATTCGTTCTTCACTGAAGGAAATATGGCAACGTCTGAAGGCTCATATAGGGTCCTTCTTTGGCACGGCAGTATTCATGAGTATAATTAATTTTTCTTATCAAAATGTAGTAAATTTATCAATGCAATTATCATTAATTCTTTATGGTCTGATAGGTAGGACATGCTTCATACCACCCACCATCATGATTTTTGTGGTATCCGTCCGCATTTATCGTGCTTTTTTTCTAGTAAATATTGTTATCTTAAAATCTCTAACGCGCGGTATGTATTTCATCAAACCATGCTAGCTCTTAAGATTCTATCGGATCACCGAGGAGAAAACAGGTTGCCGCGGGCTAAAATATATCCAGATGTCTTTCCCGTGTGCGAGGTAAGATTTGCAAACAACACGAGACAAATCCTCGAATGGATAACTTTCGCTAACCTAACCTAACTCGAGGGAGGGGAGCTATCTATGGCCTACCTTGAAAATTGAAGGGGAGGCGGTAATGTATACAACCCCTATACTATATACCCCATTCGCGTCAATTCTACTACCTCTAAATTTTAAGCTCAGGAAATGCCACTGATTTCAACGTAACTGCGCCAAGTACAATACCTCCAGTTTTTTATGGGAGAGGGGGCTATTCGATTTTGGACCCCGCGCCGTTCCGAAAAACCGTCTATCATCCCCCGTAACGGTAACTTGCCCCTCCGAGGGGTCGTAAAAATTCAATTACACGAAACTGCTCGCGAAGCAGAACCGCTCAGAGGCCGATGCCTAAAAAGTTGGCGTTAAATTAACGCGAGCCTCCTGTCTCACCTTCTTTAGCCCGGTCCGTTCCGAACACCCCAACTTATCGCGTCTCGGTATAAGATGGAAAAATCAACTCTATTTCGCGGGATGATTGGACGGAATCTCCGAACAGTCATTTTGGGAATGCCCTCTTCGGGGGCGGGGGGGATCATCGTGCTGCTGTGCTAAGGAAGAACGACGTATGAACATTCGAGAGCTGTCAAATCGCCCCGGATAAAACGGGTACTTTGAAGAAAACTATGCGTATTGTTTATTGAAATTTTAAGACGTTTTAGATAAAATTGCGAACGAAATTGTCTGAAAAAATTGAGGAAAAATATTCACAATTTTTCTTTGTAAATCATCGTTTTATTGACGAAAATCTGGCGTGGTCTAAAGGCTCATGCGGCGTTCTTCCTTAGCATGGTAGCGTGGTTGTCGAATGCGGGCAGGATCGGGCTCTTACGAATTTTTGCTAAACCTTTTTCGAGGCAGATTCTGAGACCTTTTAATGAAGCGCGAAAAACAAGCTTATTCAGGTGAACGCCTCGTGTTACTGCGCAGTGTCGTATCTGAGCCAAATGTTTAGTTTGTCTTGCGAAGAAATATTTAAAAGTGCTGCCTAAAATAAGTGGTTTTTTCCCTCTTAGTTTTTCTTTCAAGCGCTCAGCCGAAAGGGAGCGGTTTTGGATTTCAACCTGCCTCTTGAATTCTAGTATGCTTGTAGAACTGTGTTCAAATGATGCACCAGCTCAACAACAATATGGATAAAAGGAGCATAACATATTTAAAATAGATTAATCTGTGATACATTGATTTAATGCTTTCTGACGTCAAAGCACGGAGGACGATAATCGTTTTTCTGTAATTCATTTTTTTAGCGGTAGTGCATTTTTCTCAAAATTGATAGATGAAATTTTGGCGAGCAAGTTCTTTCATCTCAACGATGCTCCTCTTCTTCGGGGAATTTAAAAACGCACCTACACAGAAGACAGCTGAGCGCTTCTCGCAATACAAACGTGTTAGCGCTTTCCCGCCTGTTTTTGTGATCAGTCCATCTAATTAAAAGGAGCGCTGAACCTCTAATATTTCATACTTAATCTATCTGTGCTTACAAGCTAACTAAATGTTAAAAGAACCATCGTTAAAATGTTTTGAAAACTCTTGATGTGACAGCACTGAGTTGGGTTTTTGTTAATTTATTTTTTAAAAATTGAAATATTCACATTTATAATAGTGGAAATTTTTTGAAAACTTTTTACGTAACGTGACGTGCCGAATGTAAATAATTTCCCTCGGAAAATATACACAAAGGGTCCCCCGAAGAATCTTCTTTAACAGTTTTGTTAAAGGTTTTTGAAAAGTGCTTTTTGAGGATCATTGATGCTAAAGAAGATGCGACTGATATTGTCGAAAGAAGAGTGTAGAATCCTGGAGAGTGAAAGTTTCCACGGGTTACCAGCAGCAGCGTGGCGTGAATTGCGATTTATCGATTGTTATGCCATTTAAACCTATGGTAAAGAGTCGATTATAAAGGTGTTCGCTGGTGGACTATAAAGGTGACATATTAGCGAAGCGGCTGCGGCGCGGCGGGCTGCCAGCGTTATACGCGCATTGGCGCCTACAAACCTATTCACGCATTGCGCAATGCGTGAAGTATCCTTATTAGGTTTGTAGGCGCCAATGCGCGTATCGCGCTGGTCGCCCGCCACGATCGATATTTTCCTACTTGAATCTATGGTAAAGAACCGGTTATTAAGGTGTTCTTTGCGAACACCCTGTTTATCGATCCTTTTCCATAGGTTTAAATGACGTAACAATCGATTTATCGCAAAGCACGGTTCCTTGACAGCCCAATCGGACAGGATCAGCTGACAGACACACCGATTCATCAATGATTCATTCATCAATGCGGTTCCGTTTGACACTCGAGGACCTCTCTTCATTCAACAGCGTGAACTTGGCGGCCAACCAAAGCCGGGGTGTTGCGCGGCGCCNGGGGGGGGGGGGAGGGCAAAGCAGAGCGACGGAAATAGGCGGTCTCACTCCACCCGCCGCGGGAAAATGACGAATAAATAAAGTGAAAGTAATAATATTAGCCGAATAGCCCGGCGGAATAATATGAAAAACGTACCGGCGACTTGATCCTCTGCCAATCCGTATTCACTCTGAAACACACGAGGAAAAGACAAATTACTTCCACGTCCACGGACAACGTTTTAAATAGATGAGACACCTCCGGTAAAAAATGTCTCCCCAGATCTGGTCGCTTTCTTGGGCTCCACAAACAATGATCTTATTTTAATACAACATACACTGGAAAAAAAACACATTGGATCCAGAGTTCAGACTCTTGAAAACATTGACAAGAAAAAATTCTCTTGATTCAATCAGATTTAAGCTTAAATCAAAAGGAAATCCGCTCAAATTAAGAGGCTTGGTTCTTGATTTAAGCAAAAATCCGATTGAATCAAGAGTATTTTTTCTTGTCAATGTTTTTAAGAGTCTCGACTCTAGATCCAATGTGTTTTTTTTCCAGTGTATCGACGGTGTAAGTCGTCAATCACATAACTCGTTTGCGGTGTCTGAAAATCTCCGACTCTATGTTATTTTTTTTAAGGAGAACAAATTGACATCATTCCTTGAAGTTTATGCAGAATTTTCTTCGCAAAGAGAGGAAAAATCACGGCAGTTTTAAAGAATTGCCGTTGAGTAGTCTTTTGTTTAAAAAATAAAGTATGACAGGAAGTCTGCCACGTCCCAAACCGAGTTATGTTATTACCGACTTACACGGTCGATATTGATGACTATGGAACAATGTCACCTATGTTCAAATTGACGATCTTACTGAACGGAGGAAAAACTTCGCAATTTTTTGTGATTTTGAGGTTGGATTTGGAATTTTTTAACATATAACAGCGTTATTACAGTGCTTCCATGTGTGATTGGAAGAAATTAAAACATCAGCTTCTCTATTTTCTACTGTGGTGTGCGGTTAAAGTCGCTGACTCGTTTTTTCCAAAATGTTTAGTAAGGCGGTACACGCATTGTTCCTTAGCCCTCGATATTATCTTTTCCCGGACGAAAGAACGTAAATTAATTCCAAAATTACAAATTGATTCAAATAATTCAATTTTTTATAAAAATGTGGATGCGTAATTTTTGTTTAGAATTACTCTGATTTTTGCCTGTGTTCAGGGGAAAAATTAGAGAAATTTTCATGAAGAAATGCAAATGCCCACGATTCTCCCTATAAAAATGCAACCTGCGAAGGTAATTTTGGCAACATTTGAGATATAGTTACGTCCTTTCGTATATGAGAAACGGCGATATCGCATCTCTAATGGCACAATGACGCGCTTGAAAGATGTTTTCAAAATGTTTAAGAACAATGAAATGTCTCAAAGATGTTTCCTTTTTCAAAAGAGAGCCTTCCTGTGCCTCCAAGATCTCGCACTGCTGAGGTGACCCATCCTAGATTTGATTTTAAGTAGTTTTAGCATACAATTTTTGCATAGTTTGAAACTTAAAAATTGTCGGAAAATACCTCTTTTTAATCATTTTATTTTAGTATATCGACTATTTATTTCTGCAGTGTTAATTATTGATAAAAAAAAGGTCAAAATTTGAAGGCAGGAGCTTGAGACTATACACTATATCAAGGGCGAAACTGCAGAAATGCGTATCTCGGTTAAAGGGCACTTTCAGAAATGGACGTAATTCTATCAAACGGAGCTATGTGCATTAAGACATGAGCCCTGATACCCATAAGATACTATGCACAACAGGGCTCACGACATAATGCACATAGTTTCGTTTGACAGAAATGCGTCCAAATATACTTTACTTTCTACATGGAAAACTACTGAACATCATTTTTTGAAAATTTAGATAATTTTTCTTCTCCTCCCAACGAAATTTCTGTAAAAACTTCAAGCTTATTTGTTGGTCCGATCTCTCTCTAAAAATGAAATAGGAGCACCGCAACCGATACACACATTTTTGCAGTTTCATCTTCGATAATATGGGTAACATTACAAACATATTATGAAATCAAAAGCAGAGACAAAAATTCAACCCTCCCTTTTCCCCCCTTTCCCCTTTTTATTTATCCGGCCCGAGGTTCTGCCGCTGGTTTCAACTAACAATTGTCGGGGTATGCATACTCCTTGGACCCGGGCTAATATTTTCCCGTATGGAAATCAGCCGGTATGTCGTCAAAAAGTAAACTTGCCTTCCGTGTCACCGCCCTCTTTGGCCAAGCGATAAGTCATTCGGGGCTACTTAGAAATTCACATATTGCGCCATCAGATCGCGGTGACTGATCTGCCCCGCTAAGCGAAGGCACGTAACTGCAGTAGAGTTCCCATTATGGATATGTGGTTTTTGCTCAGTACGGCAATACTCTGTACTCGTAGAACGAAACGTATATATCCGCAGAGCGCGAAGTGCATGGAAAAACCACACGCGAAGTTGAGCCACGTCTGACAGCCGGAGTCGCGTGCGGCGCGGATGAAAAATGTGTGAAACGTTTTTAGGAAGAGCGATTATTCAGCGGCGCGGCGTGCTTTGCAATAAATCGATTGATCTGCGATTTAAAGTGATGGAAAACTATCGACAAACAGGGAGTTCGCAACGAACACCTTGATAATCGATTCTTTACCACAACTTCAAATGGAGAAAATCGATAATCGTTCATTCGCGCCTCGCCACTGCGATTATGTTGAGCAAGTATAGGATCAAAATTAAACCAAAGATAATTACATTACACTTCAAACTTACTTCCTCTTGAATTTTTGTCATACATATCGAGAATTAAGGAACAATTCCGCGTAACTGACAATTTTGGTGAAATTGAGTAGGCGACTTTGCCGCATTCTGAAGTATAAAATACGCCAGCTGTTGTTTAAAGTTTTTTTCTAATTCTACGTGCAAGCGCTGAAATGATGTAATGTATACAAAAAATTTCGAACCTAACTTAAAAAGTACGAAAACGGCAAAGTTTTTCCTTCGTCCCATAAAATCGTCAATTTGCAGCAAGGCGGTAATGTTATTTAAACAACTATATACAGGTCTCTATACGTAGGTATGAGTATATAAGAAAAATTCAAGACCATTCTTTCTTATCTTTGGCTAAGTTCCTAGCGCAACTCTTGAGGCGCCACTAAACGGTGTGGCTGAGTAAGATAAGCGGAACCGACACAGTATGTAAATGGAGCAAGAGAAAATATGCGTGTCGATGTCGGCGCGGCGCAGAGATACAACTATTCATACTTGATGGATGTCCATGTTGCATCTACGCAATTGAAGGCGCGATGATGACAAGAGGAACGGTAAGATAAACGGAACCGACACAGTATGTAAATATAGCAAGAGAAAATATGCGTGTCGATGTCGGCGCGGCGCTGAGATACAACTATTCATACTTGATGGATGTCCGTGTTGCATCTACAAAATTGAAGGCGCTATGATGACAAGAGGCGTGAACTCGCAATGCTCCGTTGTGCGCTTAACGTAGCATCATCAATAGCTCAATTTTTGCGGATAATGAGTGAAATTCAACAATTTAACTTTAGAAATAGATTCTTACAATAGGATCTCACGAGATATGTGATCGCGGACTTACGCCGTCGATTTACAACTTCCACTATACATGCATGGCAACTTCTGAAGGTCTGAACGGCACTTTTTCTTAGCACGGCAGTCTTGTACACAGACATTTTTTCAGAAGGAAGCCTGAATTTAGATACGATTGATCTGCTTAATACTTCCCAACTCTAGTACAGGAATTCATCGCATGCATTTCCGCTTTTTCATTCCACGCTCTTTTCGATCAAAGCTGGAATATGTTTTGCTCTCAACAAGGGAAAGAAAGTCGCGTTGCCTAATGAGACGTATTTATGCTAAAAGGAACTATGTGTATAGGGTTTGCGTGAGATATAGTTCCTTTTGGCATAAATACGTCCAATATTCGAGCGATTCCATATGAGATTCACAACGTGTCATTCTTGGTCATGCACGCTCACACCAGGATGATCGCGGTGTGTGCCACATGCCCATTTTCTCAGACTTTTCCTTACAGACGGAGACGTCTCCATCGTTAAACTCCGAGGGATAACAACGCAGTATGCTCTGACCGAACAAACTTTGAGAGGCAATAAGGAAAAATCACAATTTCATGGAAGCGGCTGTTCGGCACCCTTTTAGTCGGCCCATTGACCATGACCAAGGGCCCACCATTAGACAGCACCGTCGCGTCGTAAAGGCCTATCGGGATATTTCCGGGAAAAAATGTCAATTCTTGGTAATAATGATGAAACACTACAGTGCTGTATCATCGGAAGAAATGCCTCATAATGATTGGGCGTTGCCTAATTCCCTCCGATGAAATACTAATTTTTTGGTAAACTTAGGAATTTCACCCTCAAAGTTTTTATTCTTTACATTTATTTGATTCACCCTTCTATTTTGAAAAATCTGAGCTCTTCTAACTTTTTTTACTTTGTGCTTCTTTTATTATCATTTTATTCAGGTACTCTTTGCTTACGCAGGGCACCACTTGGTTTCAGGACATTTTGTCAACGATGTTTTGTCCGCGCACCTTTTTTTGTCCAGTAGTTTACGCCCACTCGTAAAATAAGCAACAGCTAGTGACTTGGTCCAAGCGTTATATTTTAGTCGGTATATATCGACGATGAAAGTCGGCAATCACATAACTCGGTTTGCGACGTCGCAGACTTCCTGTCATACTTTATTTTTTAAATGGAAAACTACTCAACGGCAATTCTTTAAAACTGTCATGATTTTTCTTCTCAACGCGAAGAAAATTCTGCAAAAACTTCAAGAATTAATATCAATTTGTTCTCCTTTATAAAAATGACGTAGAGGCGGAGATTTTCAGACACCGCAAACGAGCTATGTGATTGCCGACTTTCACCGTCGATATGTAAAATTATATTGACAATATGGAAATGAGAAATTGAGAGAGAAGGAGGTGTTGTTATGGTTGCTCATTTTCTAAATGAAATGTTATTACTTTCTCCTTTTGAATCATCTTTTTAAATTGTCATTGGTGAATATTTGGTTTGATTTCTATCCTTAAAATATTGAATGTACAGTATACCTTATATATGTATGGGTACTTTTTTTATTTTTTTATTTTTTCTTT